TACTAGCTTACCCGTCGCGCATTGCTGCGATCTCAGAAGAGATGAAATTCAAGCAAACTCGTTATAATAAAATTAAATTTTCATTTTATCATTTTTATTGAAATATATTATTATTATTCGTTTTCATCGGGAAAACATTTCAAAGTGTCGTTTCAATTCTATTTATTTATTGGAGTGCTCGTGGATACACGATATTTTTTGTTTTTTCGTCTGGTGCGTACACGAATAATTCGGAAGGTTTTCCGACGCGTGAGCTGGCCACATACAGTTGTCCATGCGAGAAGCACGGATTCTCCAAATTTAGCCCACACACTTGCAGCGATTGTCAAAAGCGCGATATTCCCCATTTATATATATATTTTTAAATCCTTTATAATTTTAATTATTTAATTGCTCCTTCCTCTCTTCCTTGGCATGTTGGGAAATTTCTGATAGTTAGATAATAAACCGTTTTATTGTAATTTGTCTTTTTAAATTATTTCGAGTCGATATTAAAATTTGAAAAAGGGCGATACCTAGATCGGTAAAATAGGCGAATTTCTTCCTACAACTTCGGTCGTTGTTCGGGGTACAGTTAAGATTTTAACGAAGTTCGAGCGAAAACATAATTAGCAAAAAAAGTCGAAATAAAGTGATTAAACAAAAATGATTACAAATATCGTAAATAACAGTTCACAAATGCATATACAGAGACATATATATTTTTGAAGGGGGGAAATGGTCTTCACAATTTGAAATCGATCAAACACACTATGCGCGAATGCTCGTGTAAACGCGCGCCATCTATCGTAGGATAAATGTACTTCGCGGGAGTGTATTAAAAAACTTCCCGAAGTTTCATGGCAATCGTACTATGCCACAAACCTTCGCCGGAGTATATTAAACAACTTCCCAAAGTTTCATGGCAATCGGATAAACGGTGTGGTAATGCATGAAGGACATAGGACACACAGACAGACATACATTCATTTTTATATATATAGATATATTTTGAAAAATTATTTAAAATTTTTATTTTTAGTTTAAATATATTTATCTTCTAGAGATAAAAATTTATATTATTGAATTAATTATAGCAAGCAAATGTATTTTTGTTTTTAAGCTTTTAATATTTTGTTTTATTTAAATTTTTTTAGATCACGCTCTCGTAGTAGAGAAAGAAGACGATCTCGTAGTAAAGAAAGAAGGTATAGCTTAGATATGGGTCTTGTAAAATTTAAGAAAATTGTATTAAATTTTTTACTTTTCAGGATCAGAACTGAAAATTTTATAAACTTTACAACTTCATAAAAATAAGAAATACAATGAAAATTAATAACATTGATGTTTATAAACTTAAAACACTAATTTTTAGCTTGTGAAATTTTCAAAGATAGATGTTTTTCTGTCTTTCAGCTTATATTAATTTATAATGTCTTCTGCTGTTTACAGATTTATTATTTTACTTTACATAAGTTACTATATTTGAAAATCTGTAATATTTTTGATTTTTTCAAAACAAAGTTTTAAATAAAAGAAATTGAAAATAATAATAGTAAAAATAATTTATATGTGCTATATTCATAGTAAAATTTAAATTAATAACTTAACAATACAAACTAAATAATTGTGAGGAACAATGAAAGATACCTCTGTGGGGTCTGTTCGACATTGGCCAATGCCACTCGCCTTAGAGGTCGTCCATAAGGTGAAAGATTACGACCCTTGCTTTGCCTGTGATCTGTCAAAATGATGCAAGAAAGCCTTTTTATGTATGGGAGTAGTGGTTTGTTGGATTCAAAGATGACTCACACAGAGACCATAATTTAAAATTATATCATGTTTATTTAAACAAAGACATCATGCTTACAAATAAGATCAAAAGGGTGTACTATAACCAACTTGCAACCTCGGATGATCCTGGAAGTGTGCTCCAACCAGCGCATGTTCGTCCTGGTTTTTTGTGAAGTTCTCTGCTAAATCAGATGCAGGAGGTCAGGGAGGAAAGAAAGAATCGTTGAGAAGTTAGGTCCCTTATTTTTCCTGCACTCGGAGTCTTTGGTCTTCAGAGTCCATCCTTCATCGGAGTCTTTGGGGTTTCTCCTTTGTCTGTTGTTAGAGTATCCACAATCCGTACACAAGGATTGACACTCTCGATCTCCACCTCCCTGTGTTCTTGGGACCTTGGGCTTTTATAACCTTTTTTTTTTTTTTTTCTGAAATTCACCCCTCCACATGAGTGTCAGCAGGTCCCGCTTTGAACACTCTGTAAGGTGACCGTCCAAAGTTACTCTGGCAGACGATCCTTCTCTCATTCTTACGATGTACGATCTAGGATCTGTCAATTAGGTCTGGAATGCAACAATTAAATCATCTCACCTCCTTCCTTGGTCACACCAGTCCTGTTTACAAAATAAGTCACTGATTTATTGGCTTTAGCTTGACAGCCCATTCCCGTCTGGGGGTATCTCAGCCTCACATAATTTATTATTCAACTATAATTTCTCAGAAACTAGAAGTAATGTTGGTTATATATATATATAACCAACAGTATTACTGTATATGTATATATATATATACAGTAATACCTTGACTTACGCTACCCCAACTTACGCGAACCCGGAGTTACGCGATTTTTAAATCTTGTTGATTCCTCTTTTGTTTGAGCGCCACGCAACTCTCGATTACTCACTCCCTTCACACTATTGTTCGGCTTACATGTTCGGACGTCTCGCGCGGAATCGACACATAGCTACAAATTATTTTGTGTTATTTATTTCTGTGTTTGTGATATCTACGGAGACTCAAGAGACTTTATGTGGTGATTTCTTGTAGCCGTGAACAAATCAAAAGACGAGATAAGATTAACGAGAACATTTATTAACTTACATACATCCGACTTGGATTTTACACAAATTGCGAAATTATACCCCGACTTACGCNTTCAAAACACTTTCAAGATGGCCACAAATCCAAATCAGTAATGCTCTATTTTGTACTTTATCAGTTTTTCAACTTGCCAGGAAAAAATTTTCAAAACTTGAGTAAGGGAATTTTTGGTATATTTAGTAGGAAAACAGTTGATAAAATTATTAATTTGTCAAATTCCTTGACATATTTCCTTTTTAATTATTTTTCTGGCTGTACAAAACTATTTGCATACACATATTGCAAAACATATCAATAAAATTAAATAAATAATATACCTACACACTTAAGTTTAATAAGCTTAAATTTATATAAATTTGTCTTTTTAAATACAACTATATGATTTAATAAATTTTCCTGTAAAAAATGATACAACCACTTAAGAAATTGATTTACTTTATAAAAATATTTTAAATATACAGAAATTACTCAAATTAGTGTGGTTAATGCATTCTAGAAAATTATTGCATTAATTGGATCCAAATAATTAAGGAATATATTTAATAAGTAAAATGATTGTTTATTTGAAATGAATTTTTTTTTTCAGTTTAAATGATGATTAGAACTCTCTTAATAATAGATCATAGTTTATAAAAAAACTACAAGAGGATGAAATAAAAAGATTCTATTAAATTTAATTATTATTACTTTGCTACTAAATTTTAAAATATTTTTATTAAAAAAGATTAAGTTATCCAATGTTTTTCGGACTTGTCTCACTGTTATTTTCTGCACAAATTTCCCAGTAACACCAAATTATGTTTTTTTTTTTTAAATGCTCTTTTGTGTAAGTACTGCATTCTTCATCTGAGTCATTATTCAAAACTGACAAGTGAGCTAGAAATGGTCCTTTTAAAAATATGCGTAAAAACATTGTGCAACATTAAAGGTGAGGTAGTAAAAAGTGAATGGCTGGACTAAGCTCAACTAACCATTTTGCCATTCCCTAATTTCAAAATTTGAATTTGACATATTCTTAAAACTTACATGAAATATTGTATTTTAATTGAGAAACTATTATATAAGAATGATGGTATTGGACTTGCTGATTGAGTGATAAAATTTGCTGGAGAGGATTTTCCTGGTTGAAGTGATAAAATTCTTTAATACTACTGTATAATATATGCTGAGTAGCCAAATTATTAGAGACACTGCTCACTCTAACTTGGACGAGTGGATTTGTTAGTGACACATGGTGGTGTAATAGCACTTAGTATATAAAAGACATGCTCAGTATCAAGAGAACTGTTTATCAGTACAGTTAACCTGGCTTGGATAGGACAAAAGATATAAATTTCAATCAAGGCATGTTAATGGGAGCAAGAAGACCCTGTTCCAGTATTTTGAAAACCATTAACATCCTCAGCTTTTCTCATGCAACAGTACCTCGTGTATTCAGAAAATGGCAGTTGGGCCAAAAAATAAGCAATAAATGCAACTGTGAATGAAAAAGGCTTGTGGATCAGAAGTAACAGGCTGCTGGCATAAATCATTCACAGCAACAGAAGGGAAACAATATGACAGATTGCATCTCAGTACAATGCAGATGCAGGCAGCAAAAAGCATATTTGAATTCACAGCAACCAGATCTTATCTTGGATTGGTTTTAACTACAGAAAACTATCAAGGGTGCATTTGCTATCAAAGAAAAACAGAAAAGCACTCCTCAGTGGGCCCAGAGGCATCACAATTGGACACTTGATGAATGGTAAAAGGTCACTTGGTCTGACATGTCTTAGTTCCTTCTCTTCCATGCTGATGGCAGGATCAGAATATGCCAATAGCATAAATCTGTGGACCCATCTTGCCAAGTGACAATCCTAAAAGCTGGTGAGTGGAATAATGGTCTGGGGAATGTTCTCCTGGGACACACTTGGTCCCCTAATAACCTGGAAACATCTCTTAATTCCATAGACTACTTCAACATTGGGCATATTCAACATCTCAGTGTCAAGCCAGTGAGATGCTGCCAGAATTGATGCCTTGAGTGAACATAAACACTGACTGCTGGAGATATTGGGAAAGAAAAATGGCAAATGATATGGACTTCCACATTACATTAAATTTATTTTTGAACTTATTTAATGAGAACAGCTTAATGAAAAATGAATATTTTGAAAAGAAAAAGAGGGATGAAGATTTTTTTAATTTCCATAGAAGTTATAAATAATTAAATCAATTCTAAGATTTCACTTTAACAACTAAAATGATATGATGTCCTATGTAAATATACCAGTATATTAAAATATTCTATTAATGTACAGTACCAACCTAATCTTAATTTATTCAAGGGTACTGTACATTCATCAATAAATAAATTAAGTTCAAAATTGTCAATGCAAAATAGAGCTCTTATGAGTCCCATAATGGTTGCCATCTTATTTGCTGGAGTATTGAGCACTGAAAAAGACATTTGCAGTTTGCTTGCAGCACACTGGCAGCAACTGGAATTTGTCAGAGATTTTGAACAGAGGCACTGAGAGGTTCTGGAAGTGCTGAGATTTTGAATATGGTTATTGTTGCTGACCGGGTTCATTCACTATTGTCTACAGCAGGGGTCGCCAAACTTTTTTTAACTGTCGACCCTCAACCACTTTCCAAAGCCTCACATTGACCCCCACCATAAAGTTTTATTACAAGTGTATGTGTATGAGCAAAAAAAAAAAAAAGTTGTGACCCCTTAGCCGCATCAACCCCCAATGATGTTGCATTGACCCTGGGGGTCGATATTGACTACTTTGGCGACCCCTGGTCTACAGTATTCCCTGACACAGTTGGGCACTTTCAATAGGACAATGCTTCCCTATCACTGTTCTTGATTGATCTCAGATTAGTTCAATGAACATTACTCTGAGTTTCGTTTGCTTCATTGCCTGGCTGTGTCACCTGAAAGAGCATTTGTGGGATGAGGTGAAAAAATCCATTTGAAATCTAGAAATGGCACTATCCAATTTGAACAGAGGGCTACTATTATGTTAGCATGGGCCAATATTTCTGTTCAACAGTTTCAAAATCTTGTAGAATCTATGCCTAGAAGAATTACAGCTGTGATCAAAGCAGGAGGAGGACCAATGCGTTATTAGTATGGTATCTAATAATTTGGCCACTCAGTATACAGTCTATTTTATACTCTGCATTGAGGTTATATATCTGTCTATATCAGGGGTCCCCAACCTTTTTGTACCTAAGAGCACATTCTAGAATACCGGTCAGATGGCGGGCACCATTTATTTTTTTCAAGGTAAATTTATAGTTGGGCATAGTTAATAATACATACACATAATGTACAAGAAAAAAAGAAAAACATTTAATTCAAAAAATGTAATTTAACATATAAAAATTATTAATATTCTTGTGTAAAATATGTAATTATTAAACAATGCATACAAAATCTACAAAGTATAAAAATTCTTTATAAAAAATATGAATCTCAAAGTCAATGTGATTTTTGGCATTGCATTTCATTGGCCATTGCTTCGTAATTAGGAGAATATGATGATATTCCTGCTCGTAAGCAATCGTCAAGGTGTTCATCTGTAAGTCGTGATCTGTACTTTGATTTTATGATATTCATTGTCGAAAACAATGATTCACACAAGTATGTGGAACCGAAAAATGACTTTATTTTATATGCTGCTCTTTTCAAG